GACTAAAGCAGGTTTCTGGGGTTTTGTTTAGCTTCTATATTTGTTACATAGTTGCTTAGAGTTGCAGCTCAGAGGCCTGCAGCGGCAGGCTGGGAACGTTGGAGTCCTCTGTCACTGAAGCAAGCAAGCCTCATGTTCAGTTTCAAGCTGCCTGGCTGCCGGCCGCCATCTTGGCTGTCAGTTAATTTGCATATCTTGCTGATTAGCCAATGGGAAGGGTAGCGGTCGTACGCCAATTACCATCTTTCTCTTTTATTAGTGTAGATGAGATGCTACAGGAACTTAACTACTGTTTATATCAATTGTCTTATGGTAAAACTTCTTTTCTTATACAGAATTTTGCTTAAAATTATAGAACCTATCAACATTAAGTGAGAACTCACTGTATCATAAAATGGTATCAAAAATCATTTTCAGCATTATCTAAAATATAGATTTTAGAACAATCCTACAAAAGTTTGAAATCATTTTTCTAAAAAGCTTAGGATGATAGTATTTCCCCATCTCTCAATTCAAACTCTTATTCTCTCTTCTTCCTTAGAAGGCAAACATTCTCAAATCCCTGTTTTCTGTCCACTTCTAACTTGCACACCCCAACTTAATAGTCAAGCTTCTCAAAGAGTAGCCTACACTCATTATCTTTCATTTCCTTACCTCTGTCCTCTTTGCTATAGCTTCTGTATCCAGCTTTCCAGTTGAGTTATTTTTGCTAAAGTCATCAATGTCTCCTTATTCCTAAATCTAATAAACAGTTTTCAGGTCTTATTTGCCCTTTTAAGCTGGGATTTAACATTTCAGGTCCCTTTTTCCCCTACCCTCCTCATCTTTTAAATTCTGGTCAGTTGTCTTCCACATTGCCACTCTCCTGTTCCCCTCTACCTTACTACTTTTTGCTGGACTCATTTTCCTCTGCCTGTCCTTCAAATGTTGGATGGTCCCTGGCCACCTTCTCTTCTATTAAGAATCCTCAAAAGATTATCTTAACTTCCATTCAACCATGCTATATACTACACCTCTAACTCTCTTGCCTGCACAACTCCCCTGGCAACTTTCCAAAGCCTCCCACACATCTTCAGGCTGCTCAAACTCAACATGGCCACAACTGAACTGATCTTGGAAAGCCAAAGAATAGAGCGTTGGAAAGTGTACATGTACAGGGAGTTTTATTTTGTTAGCAGTGGGGGATGTTCCCTATTATCCACTGGGTGAATGATTTTATTATCCTAAAATCATTATCCATCCAGTCTTTCAAGACAAATAGCTGGGGGACATGCCTGACTCCTTCCTTTTCTTTTTTTTTTAAATATATTCCATTGACTCTCTACAGAGAGGAAGGGAGAGCGATAGAGAGCCAGAAACATCGATGAGTGAGAAACATCGACCAGCCGCCTCCTGCCCACCCCCCACGGGTGATGCGCCCGCAGCCAAGGTATATGCCCTGGACCAGAATCAAACCTGGGACCCCTCAGTCCGCAGGCCGACGTCCACTGAGCCAAACAGGCCAGGGCTCCTTCCTTTTCTTGACCCAAAGAGCCAAATAAATCATCAAATACTAAAGTAAGGTTGTAAAACATTATTTTCAAATCCCCTCCCTTCTCTTTACTCCCTCATCATTTCTCAACATTAGCTTGTTTAGGCTTTCCCATAATATTTATAATTGCTTATGACTATCATACTTATCCTATAACATGTATATTTCTTCATTAACCTGCAAACTTAGTGACAGGAAACCGTGTCTTGTTCTTTTTATCCAATGCACCTAGGAACATATAAAGAGTAATAAACATAAATCTGGTGAATGAGTGATTCCAAGAAGCTAAGTAACACCTCAAAAGATGTACAATTTATTAACAGTAGAGTAGGAATTTATGTGTAGCTCATCTTGCCAGCATTTTTCAATAATTAAGTACCATCATGGTACAGCAATAGCATATCAGCAGTACTCTGTATATTCAAAGTGACAAAATATTCTTTTCTTATGTTTCTACGTGTATTTTAAGTTTTCTATAATGATCACACATCACTTTCATAATCAGTGAGAAAACAGTATTTTTAGAACAAACATGAATGAAAAATCTTTTGTTTTTAGGACATGTTGTGAAACTGGAAGCTGGAGTGGGGTGGATGCATTAGGAATCTAAGAGAAAATACCAAAAAAGAGGTACTGCTTTAACTGAACTTGAGTTAAGCTCACCCAGTGACTGTAAATAGGTTTACAGTTTCATCTTAGCCAGTCAATGATTTACATGAAAATGGATCTTTCAACCAAAGATGTTGGCTAATAATGGGGGGCAGGGAATACATGAAAATTTATCTCAAATTCATTTTCCAGATTTGAACTCAGTCATAAAAATACAAGAGGGGAATTTAAGTGAATATCTGTATCACCCATTTCAAAGTGTTATCTGAATCTCTGGACCCTTTTAGGGAACCCATGAGGCCAAAAGTATTTTCATAACAATAATAAGATGACATTTGCTTTTTCATACAATAGAGTTTTCCAGAAGCAACATGTCCTCTGATAAACATTGCAAGAGTTTAAACGCAGAGGCAGCTATGAGAATCCAGCTATCTCCTATTAAGCCAGAGATCTGCAAAATTGTAAAAATTCTCAATAATTTCTTTTATCATTATCTCATAAATTGTTTTATTAGAGAAAATAAGATTTTTTTCATTAAAAAATGCTTATGGTAACATGTAAAGGACTTATTGTTTCTTAATAAATTAATTTTATACATTTTTCAGTTTTAATTTCTAATGTGGCAAATGTCTACAGATATAACCCCACATGAAAAAGAGCTCCTCGGGATCCTCAAAAGGGATCCTGAGACCAAAAGTTCAAGGACTGCCAATTTATAGAGCTTGAGGAAGGGGCAAGCTTCTCTAAGCATGACCCCAAAGCAAGATCAACCAACAGTTATGTTGACATAAATATTTTAAACTTCTATACATCCAAAATTAAACATAAGCAAAATTACAAGAAAAGCTGACAAATTGGGGGGAATACAGCAAACAACAATGGGTTCATAGTATTTACATATGAAGAGCTCTTTCGCATCACTAAGGAAAAGTCAAACACCCACCAAAGCACCAAAGTAGGAAGACATGAAAACTAATGGGAAAACTGTAATACACAAAGACCAATATACATGCAGAAAAATAAACTTCGAACTTATTAGCAATCAAAGCAATGTAAATTAAATCTGATTAAATCAGCAATGGTGTTTAAAAACTGTGCCAAATTCAGTAAGAATGCAGGGAAAAAAGGATCCATATAAATTACTGTTAGATAAATAGTTACAGCCTCTCTCGAAGGCACTACAGAAACATGCAGCAGAAATCTTAAAAGTGTACCTACTCCTCAACCTCCAATTCTAAACGGATGGGATAAAAACATATCTAAAAGTCTGCTACAATAGTCATTGATACATTATCTATAATTGCAAAACAGAAAACTAGAAACAAATGTCTACCAAGGAGATGGCTGAATATATTATAGCATTTCATTGTGTGGATTGCTTATCTGATGATTTTAAATGTTGTATATGGAAAGATACCTTTGATTTATTAGGTTTAAAAAAGGCAGTTAAAATTTTGATGATTCATCTCAATAAAATACATCTATGTGCAAAGAACTAGGATGTGCTAGGAATTTTAGTTATATGCCAAGCATTGTATATGCCTTATCACATTTAACTTTCAGAACTCTATGATATAGGCTGCTCTCTCTAAACTTTCATTCTCTCATCTGTGAAACTGAAATAAGTAATTTGCCCCCAAACCATGAAAACTTAGACTCACAAAACCATTAGATATTGAGCCAGATTTGACTCTAGGTCTCACACTCAAACTATATTTTGTTAAATACCACCTATACACTGAAAGGTTAACAGTAAGTCAATACAACTATCTCCCCACCCCAGCTACCTTTCTTTTTTCTCTTTTTCTTTTCTCTTCTTTTTAATCTTATATTTCTTTTTATAATGAATGCATTTTTTATTTTTTATTTTAAAAAAAGAGTATTTTTATTTTGAAATACTCTAGCTCAAAAGCCAAAGATTGAACTTGTGGGGAAGCAGGAGGACTTTGCAGCACAACTTTCAAACTCAGTACATCTTGTTACTTAACATTCTCTACAGACAAATTGAAAATAAATAAACAATATCAGCTTCCTTTGGGAAATTTCACAAAAAGTTTATGGACTTTAGCATCAATAGACCTCGTTTAAAATCCAGAATAAGCTATGAACCTTAAGCAAATTATTTAACCTCTCTGAAACTCAACTTTCTTATTTGTAAAATACTGATACTGTAACAATTCTTATTTCTCAGGACTATGATAAGCACTATGTTAAAGGGACAGAACATGTGAACAGAATAAAATATAATAAATGCTAATTCCTTAAAAAAATACATACAAACTGTAACTCAATAGCAAATTGATATTAAAATCATGCTGTGATTATACATTTTTCAATAGTTAATGGGTCATTCTCACTTTCAATTTAAATTCAATCAAAGCCAAAAATACCTCCCCCAAAATAAATTATCCTGCCTTTTGAGAGCTCCCAAGCCTAGAAGAAGTACTGTGAAACAAACATTTTTATCGTCTCTTCATTACTGAATCTATCCTACTTGACTTTGTATCCTCGGGAGTCTAGCAGAGTGCAGAGCATATAGCTGGCCTACGTGTTGGATGAATAAATGTGGAGACCTTGGAACATCTAACACTCTGTCTAATAAGTCCCATTAGTACTCAAATCTAAAAGCCTTCACACAAAGCTGTGGTGCTCATTAACATTCAACAACAGTTTTGATTTCAACAAAGCAATCATGCAACAAATTTCATCCAACTCCCTTCCTCACAATATCTTATTACCAAACACACTTACCTAAAAACACAAAGTCCCTGGGATGAATCTTAAAGTCAGAGAACAAGAGAGTTCTTAAACCTTAGCTCCCTCAAAAGGGTCAATAAGGCCAGAATGTCACAGCAAGCTAAAAGGTTTTTCCTGTATTTATTAGTCTTTCTGGATATTCATTCAGCAGTAGTCAATAAATGATATCATAAAATTAAATTAATAATGAAATAATCCCTTTGGGGATTATTCAGAAAAAAATTCAGAAATTCCAGCCTGTCTCTAAATTTAATTGCATTACTAGACCTACAATGAATAGCCATACTACAAACAACTAAGGAACCCTAGTCTTCTGTAAATACTTCAATTTCACCTCCACCATGAATAAAGCATTTAACCATTCTACAAATACTGAGTGCCCACTACTGATTATTCAAATAATCCCACAAAGTGCCAGGCATTGTTCTGAGCTCTGGGAACACACAATGAACTAAGGAAACAAAAATCTCTGCACTCACTGGAGTTTCAGTCTTAAAATGGGGAGGCAGGAAGAACAGAAACAAACAAAATAAGTGAATTACATATAACAAGGTGCTAAATGCTTAAAACATGCAGAAAGGGGGAATGGAAAATACAGGGTCAGGGAGAGTAGCTGCAATTTTTAAAATAAGGGGTCAAGCCCTAGCCAGTTTGGCTCAGTGGATAGAGCGTTGGCCTGCAGACTGAAGGGTCCCAGGTTCAATTCTGGCCAAGGGCACATGCCTGGGTTTCGGGCTTGAACCTCAGCAGGGGGCATGCAGGAGGCAGCCAATCAATGATTCTCTCTCATCACTGATGTTTCTATCTCTCTATCCCTCTCTCTTCCTCTCTGAAATCAATAAAAATATATTTTTAAAAAATAAATAAATAAAATGAGGCAAACTGCAAAATAAACCATACACAGCAAAGAACTGTAAAATAAGTAAGTCTTTAAAGAATTACATTTTAAAATCTTGATGATAATGGGAGAGGCTCTCTATGTGTGGAAGCAGGGGGTATATGGGAAATCTCTCTATCTCCCCCTCAATTTTGTTGTAAACCTAACACTGCTCTAAAAAATAAAAAGTATTTTTAATTAAAAAAATAAAATAAGAGGTCAAAGAAGACCTCACTGAGAAAACCATTTTAATGCGTTCTTAAAGATGAAACTAACATAAAACTAGCACACATTCTAGTCCTACACAGATCAGACTCATTAGCATAGCAGCAATCTGGTGAACTAATTTTCTCAATTCCTGAAAAGAGTAAGAGCAATAAAGACTCAGAAGATTTGAGAAAAACCAATTCTCAAGAAGGTATAACAATACCTCCTCCTTAGTTCCCTCACAAGAGTCAATAAGGCCAGAATCTCACCGTCCCACTCCCCTTCCCCCTCCTCCCCTTTTCCTTTCCCCTCCTTCTCCTCCTTCTTCCTCTCTCTCTCTCTCCCCCACCCACCTCTTTCTCTTCTTCATTTATGATAAAACTTCACTGCCAGCAACCACAAAACTAGCATTTAAAAGATTTTGTTATTTTGCCATTGCCAGGTTTCCAACTTGAGTTACTTAAGCTTAACTTTCTATTCTTTTCCACTTCTAACACCCCAAAACACCAACAAATTAGCAGAAATCAAACACCATGCTTCATTTAAATCCCCATTTTATTGATTTTAGGGAGAGAAGAAGGGAGAAGAGGGGAGGAAGGGAGGTATGGAGAGAGGGAGTGAGAAATATCGATGTGAGAGAGATAACATCAATTGGTTGTGTCTAGCAAGAGCTCCAACCTAATACCAAACCAGAAACCTAGGCATATGACCTGACCAGGAATCAAACCTGCTTCCTTCATGTGCAATCGATGACACTCTAACCAACTGAACCACACTG